GGCAATTCTCCTGCCTCAGCCTCCTGAGTAGCTGGGATTACAGGCACGCACCACCATGCCCAGCTAATTTTTTGTATTTTTAGTAGAGACGAGGTTTCACCATGTTGACCAGGATGGTCTCGATCTCTTGACCTCGTGATCCACCTGCCTCGGCCTCCCAAAGTGCTGGGATTACAGGCTTGAGCCACCGCGCCCGGCCTGAGGGTTAATCCTCATAATTAATATTTGTATACTCTTAGAAGGGAGGCTGGCACAGAGACTGTCTTTCCTACCTCCCAATAACTCTACCAGTTAGATGGTCATGGCCCCTCTTTTTTTTTTTTTCTTTTTGGAGGAAAAAAAAAAATCCTAGCCTTAAGAAGGCTGTGAATCTTGGCTGCAGAAGCATCAGAGCCAACTCCAGCAAAGAAGCTAGCCTACTCTCCTAGTCTCATCTCTCTTCTGCTGTGGTTTTCCCTCTGTCTTGTTCTCTCATTCTCTTTTTAAAACGTTTATTTTATTTTGCATTATAGCTTGCTTAACTCCCTTCTGGAACGAAATTATTTTTTTATTTTTATTTTTTTTTAAGAAGAAAGAAAGAGAAAGAATAAAAAAAGGAAAAACGAATGAAGGAGAGGAAGAAAGGGGAAGAGGGAGAGAGAACAGGGGTGTTGCTTTATTGCCCGGGCTAGAATGCAGTCTAAAAATGGGTATGCCTGTAATTGTGTTTAATAATAAAGACATGAAAAAAAAAATGAGGGAAGAAAATAACTAACAAGCAGCCAACCAATATTTCATTTAAACCTGTAAATAGGTGTGATGTGGTACTGATAAGAGTGTATACTTTGTATATTTAAAGTGGAGAGTTCTATAAATGTTAATTAAGTCTACTTGTTTCGGATCTGAGTTCAAGTCATGGATATCGATGTTAACTTTCTGTCTCATTGATCTGTCTGATATTGATGTTGAAGTCTCCCACTATTATTGTGTGGGAGTCTAAGTCTCTTTATAAGTCTTATATATCTGGGTATTCCTGTATTGGGTGCATATATATTTAGGATCTTTAGCTCTTCTTGTTGCATTGATCCTTTTATCATTATGTAATATCCTTCTTTGCTTCTTTTGATCTTTGTTGCTTTAAAGTCTATTTTATCAGCGAAAATTGCAACTCCTGCTTTCTATTTATTTATTATTTTTGCTCTCCATTTGGTTGGTAAATTTTTCTCCATCCCTTTGTTTTGAGTCTTTATGTATCCTTGCATGTGAGATGAGCCTGGATGTAGCATACCAATGGGTCTTGGCTTTTTTTTTGCCTGTCTGTGTCTTTGGATTGGGGGATTTAGTTGATTTAAATTTAGAATTAATAATAATATATGTGAGTTTGATACTGCCATTTAATGTTAGCTGGCTGTTTTGCCCATTATTTGATATAAGTTCTTAATTATGTTGATGTTCTTTATTTTTTGGTATTTTTTAGAAAGGCTGATACTGGTTGTTCCTTTCTATTTGTAGTGGTTCTTTCAGAAGCTCTTGTAAAGCAGGCCTGGTGGTGATGAAATCTCTGAGTGCTTGCTTGTTCACAAAAGATTTTATTTTTCCTTCGCTTATGAAGCTTTGTTTGGCTGGATGTAAAATTCTGGGTTGAAAGTTCTTTTCTTTAAGGACGTTGAATATTGGCCCCACTCTCTTCTGGCTTGTAGGATTTCTGCTGAGAGATCTGCTGTGAGTCTGATAGGCTTCCCTTTATGAGTAACCTGACCTTTCTCTCTGGCTTCCCTCAGTATTTTCTCTTTCATTTCAACCCTGGTGAATCTGGCGATTATGTGCCTTGAGGTTGGTCTTCTTGAGGAATATCTTTGTGGTGGTCTCTGTATTACATGGAGTTGAATATTGTCCTGCCTTGCTAGGTTGGGAAGGTTTTCCCGAATAATATCCTGAAGCGTATTTTCCAGCTTGGATTGATTCTCTTTGTCACATTCAGGCACACCTATCAAACGTAGATTAGATCTTTTCACATAGTCCCATATTTCTTGGAGACTTTGCTCGTTTCTTTTTATCCTTTTTTCTCTAATCTTGTCTTCACGTTTTATTTCATTAAGTTGGTCTTCGACCCCTGATATCTTTTCTTCTGCTTGATCAATCTGGTTGTTAAAACTTGTGCATACTTTGCGAAGTTCTCGTGTTGTGTTTTTCAGCTCCATTAATTCACTTATATTCCTCTCTAAATTGTGTATTATTGTTAACATTTTGTCAAACCTTTTTTCAAAGTTCTTAGTTTCTTTGCATTGGGTTAGAGCAAGTTCTTTTAATTCCCAGAAGTTTCTTATCATCCACTTTTTAAAGCCTTCTTCTGTTAGTGGAACACAGTCTTTCTTCATCAGGCCTTGTTCTGTTGCTGATGAGGAACTGTGATCCCCTGTAGAGGGAGAGGCATTCTGATTTTGGGTATTCTCAACCTTTTTAGGCTGGTTTCCTCCCTTCATTATAGATTTATCCATCTGTGGTCTTTATAATTACCGTCTTTATAGTTGGGTTTCTGAATGGACGTCCAACTTGTTGATTCCCAGCGCTAAAATCTGAGCAACCCACTGCGCCGGCCAAAACAGCGGCTTTAAGATTGATGGTGCTTTTCTGACTGCACCAAGAACCGCCGCACCAAGGCAGCGGCAAAACCGCCTCGCCGGCCACAAGAGTCGCGCTGGCGACCCGTGAGGCTCCTCCACTGGGAATCACCTGGTGCTTGAGCAGCAAAAATTGATCTGAAAATGTGGCGTTCTCTCGTTCTCTGCGCTTTCAGTAGGAGCTACAATCCCTAGCTGCTAGTGATCAGCCATCTTGGATCTCTCAAAATTGGCCCCTCTTGCAAAAGGGAAAATTGAGGCTCAGAAAGGCCAAGTGACTGTCCTGGGTCACAAAGGCAGCGGTAAGCAGAAGCAGAATTTCAAACCAGTTCACCCGGACTCCCATTGGAGTCTGGGCTCTGCAGCCAACTCACAGTGTGGGCAGTGCCTCAGCCTTCTTGAGCCTTGGTTTCTTTATCTATAAAATAGGGATGCTAGACTTGTAGTGTGCTGAGATCTGGGAGGCAATGAGGCCAGGCAGGGCAGCTCTATACTTAGAATTCTGTGAATAGGGCCAGGCACGGTGGCTTGGCGCCTGTAATCCCAGCACTTTGGGACTCGGAGGCAGGTGGATCACAGGTGAAGAATCAAGATCATCCGGGCCAACATGATGAAACCCCGTCTCTACTAAAAATACAAAAAATAGCTCGGGGTGCTGGCGCACACCTGTAATCCCACCTATTCGGGAGGCTGAGGCAGAAGAATTGCTTGAACCTGGGAGGTGGAGGTTTTAGTGAGCTGCGATAGTGCCACTGTACGCCAGTGTGGCAACAGAGACTCCATCTCAAAAAAAAAAAAAAATTCTGTGAATAGGCTGGGCATGATGGTGTGCGCCTGTAATCTCAGCGACCTGGGAAACTGCGGTGGGAAGATCGCTTGAGTTCTAGACCTGTTTGGGTAACATAGCGAGACCCCGTCTCTATTAAGAATTTTTTAGGCTGGGTATGGTATTTCACGCCTGTAATCCCAGCTGAGGTGAGTGGATCACTTGAGGTCAGGAGATTGAGACCAGCCTGGCCAACATGGTGAAACCCTGCCTCTATTGAAATACAAAAATTAGGAGTACTGTGGCTCTAGCCTGTAATCCCAGCACTTTGGGAGGCTGAGGCAGGTGGATCCCTTGAGCCCAGGAGTTCGAGACCAGCCTGAGCAACATGGTGAAACACTGTCTCTACAAAAAATACAAAAATTAGTTGGGTGTAGTGGTATGCCCCCATAGTCCCAGCTACTTGAGAGGCTGAGGCAGAAGGATCTCTTGAATCTGGGAGGTCAAAGAAGCTTCAGTAAGTCAAGATTGCACCACTGCACTCCAGCCTGGGTGACAAAGTGAGACCCTGCCTCCTAAATAAACAAATAAGAAAGAAAATAAAAAATTAGTTGGGAGGGCACCTGCCTGTAATCCCAGTTACTTGGGAGGCTGAGGCAAGAGAATCACTTGAGCATGGGAGGAGGAGGTTATAGTGAGCTGAGATTATGCCACTACACACCAGCCTGGGTGATGGAGCAAGACTCTGTCTTGAAAAAACAAAAAGAACTCTGGTCAGTGGAATGGTTGTCACCTTCTGATTCACTGGAGTCCAGCACCAGAGTGTGGCAAGCTATCTTGTTCCCACACACCCCTTGCCATGCCCCTAGGGATGTCTGCCTTTCCCAGGGAGGCCACTTCTGCCTCTTCCACTTCCTTGAGGCTCCTCGGAGGTCCTGTGCTTCCACCCCTAGGGCGCCTCCTTGTCATCCCACCTCCTGCTTTCTTTCTTGCTTAGGATGTGAGGTGTGTGAACCTCTCCAGCCCTAGGCCCCACAGGCTCAGGTGGGCGGAGAGGGGAGGGTGCTCATCCTGGACTTCCCAGCACAGGGTCTCCTGGGGGCTCCCTCTTGGCCAGCTCTGGGCCAGAGATGTGTTTTGCAGTTGCCATTTGCACATGGATTCTCAGCCCCATCAGCCTGAGTCTTTCTGAGGGCAGTACCCCATCTTCCTGGCTCTGCGCCCTCATAGTAGCGCCTGCCAGGTAGTTAATGTTCAGTCCCGGAGGCAGGAAGAGCTGGAGGCTAGTGTCATTTAAATGCTTGGTCTGTTTGCCAGCATCCTGTTCTGAGGGGCAGCAGGAATGGGGATGGGGGCCTTGTGTACACTGGGAACCAAAAGTGGGAAGGGAGGAGCCCAGCTCTCCACTGTGGGTTCTGGGCCCTGGAGCCATGGCAGGGCGTTCACACAGGGCTTACGGGAGAGAGGAGGCTTGCCAGCTCCCAGCTGGTATCGCTTGACCCTCTGAGGGGCTACATTGGAGGGGTTGGCATTCTGGAATACCCTGCTGTCTTCCCTGCAGGTCCAGAAAGTCCCTCTGGGTATGTTTGTACCAGGGCAGGTGTGGGCTGCCTCAGATCCTTCTGCACTGTTCTTTGGAAACCCTCACTGAAATCTTTCCCTCCTCTAGCTCCGCTGTAGCAGCCACTGAGAAGAAGGCGGTGACTCCAGCGCCTCCCATAAAGAGGTGGGAGCTGTCCTCGGACCAGCCTTACCTGTGACACTGCACCCTTAGGGCCCCTGACTGCTTTGCCTCCTTGGATTCCCTCCAGGGAGACAGTGACCTAATTTATGACAAATACGTAGAGCTCCAGTATCGCTTCTCGTTTTACTTTAAAAAATAAAAAAATAGAGTCTCACCATGTTTCCAAGGCTGATCTTGAACTCCTGGCCGCAAGTGATCCTCCTGCCTCAACCTCCCAAAGTGCTGGGATTACCAGCGTGAACCACCAAACCTGACTTGATTTTACTTTTTTTTTTTTTTTGAAACAGAGTTTCACTCTTGTTGCCCAGGCTGGAGTGTAATGGTGCAATCTTGGGTCACTGCAACCTCTGCCTCCCAGGCTTAAGCTAGTCTCCTGAGTAGCTGACACCACAGATGTGTGTCACTATACCCGGCTAATGTTGTAGTTTTTGTAGAGATGGGGTTTCACCATGTTGGCCAGGCTGGTCTCAAACTCCAGACCTCAGGTGATCCACTTGCCTCGGCCTCCCAAAGTGCCGAGATTACAGATGTGAGCCACCACGCCCAGCCCCTGATTTTAAGCAATACCCAGGTTACTTGGATTTTGGGGTGAAGTCGGTGCTGAGTCTTCCAACTCTGTCGGTGCTCCAGAGAGACACTGTCCCTGGGTGCAGAGGCCCTGAAGACAGCAACACGCTTTCCCCTGAAGGCCAGGTTGTGACCTTGAGAGTGGTGGGAATGGGTGACCCTTCTGGAAGATTGGACTCCAGGACTGCTGGGTGTTGGGGAACACTGATCATGAAGACCAGTCAGGTGGGGGAGGGGTGTGTGTGTGTGCACACTTGGTAGGCCAGCCACAGACATCTCACTTCCATCTCTGTTTTTTGGGGGGATGGGGTTTTGCTCTTGTTGCCCAGGCTGGAGTGCAATGGCACGATCTCAGCTCGCTGCAACCTCCGCCTCCTGGGTTCAAGCGATTCTCCTGCCTCAGCCTCCTGAGTAGCTGGGATTACAGGTGCCCACCACCATGCCCAGCTAATTTTTTGTATTTTTAGTAGAGACAGGGTTTCATCATGTTGGCCAGGCTGGTCTTGAACTCCTGACCTCAGGTGATCTGCCTGCCTTGTCCTCCCAAAGTGCTGGGATTACAGGCATGAGCCACTGCATCCGGCCTTCACCTCTTAAATTTTTGTTTGAGACAAAGTCTTGCTCTGTTATCTAGGCTGAGTGCAGTGGCATGATCTTGGCTCACTGCCACCTCCGCCTCCTGAGTTCAAGCGATTCTCTTGCTTCAGCCTCCCAAGTAGCTGGGACTACAGGTGTGCACAGCCATACCCAACTAATTTTGTATTTTTAGTAGAGACAGGGTTTTGCCATGTTGGCCAGGGTGGTCTCGAACTCCTGACTTCAAGTGATCTTCCTGCCTCAGCCTCCCAAAGTGCTGGGATTACAGGTGTGAACCACCGTGCCTGGTCTAACTTTCACCTCTTGAGGGCTTCCCCAGCCACTGCTCACATGGACCTTCTTCAGCACCTTCCCACTGAGGTCCCTGCTTGACCTTGGTCACCTTGCAGCTCAAGGGAGAAGGCAAAGGACAGTGAGGGCTGCTCACAGGGAAGGCAGACCTAGGGCAGATCAGGAAAGGCCTCCCTGAGCCAGAAACCATTATGCTAGGGTTGCAGGATGAGAATGAGCCCTGGAAGGAAGGCAGTTGTTTCCTGGGGAGGAGACACACATCTGCAAAGGGAAATGTACAAGTCTGGCTGCAGGAGCCACCCAGTGACCCTAAGCAGGAGAGTGTCATGGCTGTCCCAGGGCACAGCCCCATACCCTCAGCAGCTGAAAAAGGTCAGCTGTCGACCAAGAGGGTGCCGAGAGGGTCCTGCCCTCTGGAAGGGGAAAGGCCACCGTTGCAGGCAGCAGGTACATGTCTCCCAGAGTGGGTCCTACCAAGGCTAACAGCCCAAGGCTTCCTGGAGGAGGTGGGATTCTGCTTGGGGCAAAAGGATGAATCAGATTCAGAAAGGGCAGGAGGGAGAGAAAGACCAGGCAGGGTGTGCAGAGGCCACCAGGAAGGCAAGACCCTAGGAAAGGCGTGCCACTGACGGCCTCCGAACCAAGTTTTAGGACCCTGACTTTTCTTTTTTTGTTGTTGTTTTTGAGATGGAGTCTCACTCTGTCATCCCCGGTTGGAGTGCAATGTTGTGGTCTCAGCTCACTGCACCCTTCGCCTCCTGGGTTCAAGTGATTCTCCCACCTCAGCCTCCCGAGTAGCTGGGGCTACAGGCAAATGCCACACCTGGCTAATTTTTGTATTGTTAGTAGAGATGGAGTTTCACTATTTTGGCCAGGCTGGTCTCAAACTCCTGACCTCGTGATGCACCTGCTTCGGCCTCCCAAAGTGCTGGGATTATAGGCGTGAGCCACTCACCCAACCAGCTTTTTGACGAAATGAGGATCAAATGGTGAAACCCCGTCTCTACTAAAACACACACACACGGGGTGCTGTGGCAGGTGCCTACACACACACACACACACACACACACACACACACACACGGGGTGCCGTGGCAGATGCCTATAATCCCCAATACGCAGGAGGATGACTCTGGAGAATCACTTCAACTGGAGAGGCGGAGGTTGCAGTGAGCCGAGATTGCGCCATTGCACTCCAGCCTGGGCAACAAGAGCGAAACTCCTTCTTAAAAAAAAAAAAAAAAAAAAAAAAAACGGAAATGGGGTCTCACTGTCACCCATGCTGGAGTGCAGCCCCAAGTGGTCCTCCTACCTCAGCCTCCTGTGCAGCGGGGACTACAAACTAGAGCCACCATGCCCAGCTAATTTTCTTTTTTCTTGACACGGGGACTTGATGTGTTGCCCAGGCTGATCTCAAACTCCTGGGTTCAAGCGATCTGCCCGCCTCTGCTTCACCAAAGTGCTGAGATTACACGCAGGAGCCACCACATCCGGCCTTTATTATTAAATTTAATTAATTGATTTTCTTTTCTTTTTTTCCCTCAAGCAACCTGACTCTGGGGTCGTTTACTCACCAAATATTTACTAAGAACCTACTGTGAGTCAGGTACTATGTGTCAGGCCCTCAGAATAAAGCAATGAGCAACAGAAGATCCCTGCCGTCCAGTAGTTGGCATTGTATACTCGGACGGTTAACTAGAATAAGTAATTAAAATTAATTACCTATCGGAGCCAAGAAAGCAGTGAGATGAGGGAGGAATGAGGAGTGCTTGAGGGGCGTGGCAGCCATATTAAAGAGGATCACGAGGCAGTAACATTTGCTGCAGTCCCCATGTGGAACGGGAAATAATGCAAATGAACATCAAGAAATTCCTTTCCATCCCCAGAAGTTTCTGACTTCAAGCGGGCTCCATACCTTTTGACCGATCTCGTCACTGGGGAAAGTAGGGACGGGCGTCTAATTCTCTTTCTCTCCTATTCTGGCATTTACGGTACGCGTAGCCGCGGGCGCCAGGGGACTCAGGGGGGCGTGGGTCCCGCCCCATCCTGCTCGTGCGCGTGCGCGTGCGCAGGAATAAGAGCGAGGTAGGGACGGCGCGTGGCCGGCGCCGCTACGGAGGCAGCTAGACCGGCGGTTGGATGGCGCGGGGCGGGGTGGGGCGAACAGGGGCTCTGGGCCTGGCTCTGCGGCTTCTGCTCGGTCTTGGACTAGGCCTGGAGGCGGCCGCGACCCCGCTTTCCACACAGACCTCCGCCCAGGCCGCAGGTGAGTGTCACCCGCAGCGCAGGCTCCCCCCCGGCTTAGCCTCCCCTCTGCGCTCCGACAACGCCTCGCCATTGGCTACACCGCACGTCCGTCCCGGACACTCCCCCAGCACTTGGACTTGCACTTTATCGCTTGCGAGAAGCCGCGCGCGGGTGCTAGGAGGACCCCATACTGAGGGACTGGGGGTCCTTCCACCCGGATGCCTCCACGTGCCCTTAACAGTTTTGCCCCGGTCTTGCGCACCGCCCCACACGTGCTCTGCTTTGTCGTGCCCCATTGTCACCTCCAAGCCGCCCTTGATGCCAGCGTGTTCAGAAAAACTGTTAGCAGGCTCAGATTTTCCGACAACTAATCGTGCAGGGCGGGTCACCTGGTGCCTCTCATACCTGTGCCTTCGCGCCCAAACCCTCTCGCCCAGGCCATGTCTCTGTTCCGCTGCCTTCCTCACCCTCCCAGTCTCTCCTCCTTTGTCCTCCGTCCTCGAGGTCTCTCCCTCCATGCTACCCCAGGCCCTCGAAGAGACTGGGGTCACAAGTTCAGTATACCCCTGTGGGCATATTCACCCTGGCCTAAATGGTATTGGTGGCCAGTGGGGACAGGCTCCCTCTCTGAGGCTCCTAGAGGCAGCTGGAAGGGTTGGAGTAGCCTCCCTGTGCACACCGGCACCCCTGACTTGCAGTTCTGGGCTCAGGCTCACACGCTTTCCCAGCTCCTTTGTGCATTTGTAGGTCCCTGGACTCACCCCAAAGTCCCTGACATTGTTCCTGTTTTTTTTAGCAGGTTCACATTAACCAAGTACAAAACTTTTTGTTGTTGTTGAGAGTCTCGCTCTGTTGCCCAGGCTGGAGTGCAGTGGCGCATCTCACTACACCCTACACCTCCTGGGTTCAAGCAATTCTCCTCCCTCAGCCTCCCAAGTAGCTGAGACTACAGGTGCTGCCACCATGCCTGGCTAATTTTTGTATTTTTGGTAGAGATGGGGTTTCGGCATGTTGGCCAGGCTGGTCTCTAACTCCTGACCTCAAGTGTTCCGCCTGCCTCTGCTTCCCAAAGTGCTGTGATTGCAGGACAAAACTTATACTGAGTCCCCTTTCCACAGGATGTTGAGGTAGGGATTCCCAGCATACCCCCTTTACAGGTAAGGAAACTGAGGCCAGGAGGGAAAGTCACTGGTCACTGTGACTCCTATCAGGTTTACCACCCTATGAGGCAGGGACTGCTGTGCTCTGCTGTCCACTTTGCAGAGGGACACACACTCCAGTGGGCCAGGAGTCAGAGGTGTCAGGGCTGTGAGAGTCTGGGCCTGCGTAGAGAGTCACTCCTGGAGGCTGCCAGACCCCCGGGGGGTAGGGAAGGAAGCTGGCGCCGGGTTGTCCACAGCTCTTCCGGGCTCCACAGAGCTCAGGGACTGTGTGGCTTGAAGGTGCAGTTGGCCCTGAAGGCCAGGGAGGGGCTGGCTGTGGGGAGATGAGGGGTTGGAGGCTCATAGCTGGTGGGTAAAGGTGGAAGAGGTTAAAGGCCCTGGCAGAGTGAAGCCAAGCTAAGGTGGTGGATTTGCCACCTCCCCTGGCCGTACCCAGGAGGAAGCCCTAAAGGCCATTCCGTTCCTCTGCCCCTTGGCCCAGGTTCTAGGCCCCTCTGTGCTCCTCCAAGTCGGCAAACAGCTGAGCTTTTCTGCTCAGAATCTAGGACAGCTCGGAACTTCTCTGGACCCAGCTTGGACCCTTTTGTGACCTGTGTTCACTTATGATCAGGCACTGCCCTGGGTTTAGGCAGCCAGGTCACAGCCCTGACCTCCATAGGATGTCCAGTCTGGGTGGATAGGCATGACCAGGGTAAGGACAGTTGTTAGATGTGGGAGGCAGTGCTTCCTAGGTCTCCGAGGCGGACATGAGACCCCTCCCAGGAAATCAGCTGAGATCTGAAAATAGAGGGGGAAACACAGGGTGTAGAGAGGAGAGAGGGAAGGGCAGGTCTCTGGTATCCTAATGGACCTTGGGACCTGAGGCTCTGGTGAGGAGCTGACACATTTAGGATGGGGAAAGTGATCAGGTCTGGGAGGAGTTCAGGAGGCAGGGCAACAGGACTTGGTGACTAAGCAGGTTCTCTGCCAGTGCCTCAATTTCCCTTCTTCTATGCAGAGGAGATAGACTGTCCCTGCTAACCTGAGCCCATGAGCCTGACTCAGGCATGTGGAGAAATGGCCCCACCCCCAGTCTCTTTAACCACGGAGATTGGAGGTCTCCCTGGTAGATTATCTCCATGTGAGGAGCCTGGTGAAGACTCTAGGATCATCAAGCCCTGCATTTGAGCCCCAACACTTGCTCTATCACCCAGGCTGGAGTGCAGTGGTATGATTTTGGCTACCAGGTTCAAGTGATTCTCGTGCTTCAGCCTCCTGACTAGCTGGCATTACAGGCAAACCCCGTTTCTATTTAAAATACAAAAATTGTCCACCACGCCTGGGTAATTTTTGTATTTTTAATAGAGACGAGGTTTCACCATGTTGGCCAGGCTGGTCTTGAACTCCTGGCCTCAAGTGATCCACCCACTTTGGTCTCCCAAAGTGCTGGGATTATAGGCGTGAGCCACCATGCGCTTTGCCACCAGGTCTGTATTCTCCTCTTAGTTCCTTTCTCTGTAGCCTGCAGAGTGCAGTAGCACCTGCCTAGTGGGTCTCTTGGTAAGGCTAGGAACCACTGCGTTCTGAACCCCACTTGTACTAGGGGCTCAGTAACAAGCAGCTGCCAGTGTGGTTCTTGTGTCCCAGGACCTTGCCTGTTGTCTGGGTCTGACCAGCAGACCCTGACCCAGTGATGGATGAACAGATGCACTCAGACACAGATATCCAGTGAAAAGAGTGGACTTAGGGGTCCGGAGCACTCACTGATACCGAGAAGGATTGGGTAAAGAGTTAGCAGCCATGACCCGTCAGCCAGTGAAGTTCACATTTGTTTAGTACAGATTAAATGACAAAGGTATTGAGTAAATGCCGCTAGAGGGTAGTTGACATTGCAGACCTCCCAAGTAGAGAGCAATCATGCACCTCTAGATAATCAAAGGTTGGTCTTAAGACTACATGAGTAAACAAGCAATTTAGGTAAGGTCCTCTACGTTCTTACGTATCTACGCCCTAAGCTTTTTTTTTTTTTTTTTTAAGATGGGGTTTCACCATGTTGGTCAGGTTGGTCTTGAACTCCCGACCTCAGGTGATGCATCTGCCTTGGCCTCCAAAGTGCTTGGATTATAGGCGTGAGCCACCATGCCTGGCCACCCTAAGCTTTTAATTCAGATGCCTTCAGCCAAACCTTTTTCTGAAGCTAAGCACCCCCCCACCCCGCCTTCCAAGAAGATTGTGACTATTTACTATAACTATATAATTTTTCCTCTAAGATCTTTCCCACCACCCTGGCTGAACTCCTACAGCCTGTCACCTGAGGATCACAGTGTCTACTGTACTCTTTAGAGGGAGGTCCAGCCTCCAGCACCCCAGGCTTCATTTGCATCCATCTCGCAGGCTCCAGCTCAGGCTCGTGCCCACCCACCAAGTTCCAGTGCCGTACCGGTGACTTATGCGTGCCCCTCAACTGGCGCTGTGACAGTGACGAGGACTGCCCTGATGCCAGTGATGAGGAGGAGTGCCGTGAGTGGCCATGCCCAGGGGCAGGGCTTACAGGGGGTGGGGCCTGTGGGTGGGATGTGAGGGGCCAAGGTGCATGGAGGTGGAGCTTGTGGGAAAGGCAGGGCCACAGGGGTAGGTGGGACTTGGGTCTGTGGGTCATAAGAAGAAGCAGGGTCTAAGATGGACCTGGGCTGGGCACGGTGGCTCATGCCTGTAATCCCAGCACTTTGGGAGGTTAGGGCGGGAGGATTGCTTGAATCCGGGAGTTTGAGACCAGCCTGGACAACATAGTGAGACCCCCTCTCTACAGAAGATAAAAAATTAGCCCTGCATGGTGGTATACACATGTAGTCCTAGCTACTCAGGAGGCTGAGGTAGGAGGATCACTTGAACCTGGGAGGTTGAGGCTGCAGTGAGTTAAGATTGCACTAGTGCACTTCAGCCTGGGCAAGAGAGTGAGACTCTATCAGGAATAAAAAAAAGAAAGAAAGAGAAAAAAGAGAAAGGAAGGAAAGAAAGCAAAAGAAAGGGCCAGGTGTGGTGGCTCATGCCTGTAATCCCAGCACTTTGGGAAGCCTAGGCTGGCAAATCACTTGAGGTCAGGAGTTCAACACCAGCCTGGCCAACATGATGACACCCTATCTCTACTAAAAATACAAAAATTAGCTGAGTGTGATGGCAGCCCTCTGTAATCCCAGCTGCTTGGGAGGCTGAGGCAGGAGAATTGCTTGACCCCAGGAGGCGGAGGTTGCAGTGAGCCGAGACTGCACCACTGCACTCCAGCCTGGGTGGTGGGGCGAGACTCTATCTCAAAAAAAAAAAAAAAAGAAAAACAAATAGAATAAAGTGGGCTTGTAGGAAGGTAGAGCTAGTGGAGTCTTGGGGGAAGAGCTTGCAGGCAGGTCTGTCTTTAGAAGGTAGAATTAACAGTTGCAGGGGACGGAGCTTAGGAAGGATACACTTTTTGGACTCAGCTGTTCTTAGAGGGTAGGGCTTGCAGGGGACTGGGTTGCAGGGAGTACCTGGACCTTCTTGGGTGGGCATTTGGGACCTGACTGACCCTGTGCCCCAGCGATTGAGCCGTGTACCCAGAATGGGCAATGCCCACCGCCCCCTGGCCTCTGCTCCTGCACTGGTGTCAGTGACTGCTCCGGGGAAACCGACGAGAAACTGCGCAACTGCAGCCGCCCGACCTGCCCAGCAGGAGAGCTCCATTGCACGCTGAGCGATGAATGCATTCCACTCACATGGCTCTGCGATGGCCACCCAGACTGTTCCGACTCCAGTGACGAGCTCGGCTGTGGTGCGCACCTGCGGGGGTGGGGCGGACTGGTGGGTAGACGGGACTACCCACTGCCTGCTGTGGGGTGCCCAGGCTGGGGGTGTGGACACGTGGCTCTGCCAGTGGGGTTCTGCCTGTGGGGGCCGCAAGACATCCTTAGGGACAAGGCATGGTGGGTTATGCCTGTAATCCCAGGACTTGGGGAGGCTGAGGCAGGTGGGTTATTTGAGGTCAGGAGTTCAAAACCAGTTGGCCAACATGGTGAAACCCCGTCTCTACTAAAAATACAAAAGTTAGCTGGGCGTGGTGGCACACACCTGTAATCCCAGCTACTCAGGGGGCTGAGACAGGAGGATCGCTTAAACCCAGAAGGCGGAGGTTGCAGTGAGCCAATATTGTGCCATTGCACTCCAGCCTGGGTGACAGAGCCAGACTCCCTCTAAAAAAAAAAAAACAGTAACATAATGACAGGCAGCAGTCAGCTTCACCCAGCCTGGGTTGGAAGATAAACCCCAAGGGCTCTCCTGCGCCCCTGGCCCCCTCATGCCTTCAGTGCCCTCCCCTCAACAACTGAAATGCCTGGGCTAATTGCAGGAACCAGTGAGACCCTCCTGAAAGGAAATGCCACAACTATGGGGTCCCCTGTGACCTTTGAGAGTGTCACCTCTTTCGGGAATGCAACGTCCTCTGGAAGACCAAGTGCCTATGGGGTTATAGCAGCTGCCGGTGAGATGGACATACCCTCCCATGTAGGAGGCTTAGAGCTCCATGGGATTCAGGGGAGGTGGTTGGGGAGCGATGAGCTGCAGAACTCCCATCTCCATGTGGGTGGAGCTTGGTGAGTGTGGGGGCTCTTGCCTTCCCCTCTCCTTACTCCTCTGTCCATCTGTTCCCCACAGTGGTGCTTAGTACAAGCCTGGTGGCCGCCACCCTCCTCCTTTTGTTCTGGCTCCGAGCCCAGGGGCGTCTCTGCCCACTGGGGCTGCTGGTGAACGTGAAGGAGTCCCTGGTGCTGTCAGAACGGAAAACCTTTCTGATCTGAGGACAAACACTGGCCACCACCATCACCCAGCCCTGGGTGCAGCCAGGCAGGAGGTGATCAGTGATGTGGACCACGATATAGGCGTGCCAGCCCTCAGAGACCAGGGCTGTTCTGGCCACGTGGAACCTCCAACCTCAAACCCGAGCTCCTGCAGAAGCGGCCCTGGAGATTCAGAGTCCCTGAACATTCCCTATGGAGACCTGGGGAGCTTGGATGGGGAACACACTACAGCCAGAACCGAGGGGCCGGCCCCAGGTAGCTCCCAGGAGGTGGAACGACCCCATGCCGAAGACACTCCTGCTGCCCCATCAGAGGGCGGTGAATAAAGTTGCTTCACAAGCTCTGCCTGCCTCTGGGTCTCTGTCTCCCTCAGCCTGGGCAGCCTGGGGACTCTGCTGCAGCCCCACCTCCATGAGAGGCTGGGCCGTAGAAGGTGGGGCATGGAGACCCAGCCCTGGGTGCAGCTACTGTGCCTCTTGCTTTTTGGGAGCAGGGGAGGCAGGGCTGGGGTGGGTAGGCAGGGCTGGGGTGGGGAGTCTGCGTTAACTTCAGGCTTCTTGAAAGAAGAGCAGAGCTTGGGCAGTGCCTTCCTGTTCCCAGGTAAGGAGACCCTCATTCAACATGGCCTCCTCCCCAGTGCAATGGAAGCCAGGAATCCTCGGACTCATCCTGTTTTAATTATTTATTATTATTTTGAGATGGAGTCTTGCTCTGTTGCTCAGGCTGTAGTACAGTGGCACAATCTTGGATCACTGCAACCTCCGCCTCCCAGGTTCAAGTGATCCTGCCTCAGCCCCCCTAGTAGCTGGAATTACAGGCATGCACCACCATGCCTGGCTAATTTTTGTGTTTTTAGCAGAGACGGGGTTTTGCCATGGTGGCCAGGCTGGTCTCAAACTCCTGACCTCAGATGATCTACTTGCCTTGGCCTCTCAAAGTGCTGGAATTACAGATGTGAACCACCATGGCCTGCCTATTATTTTTTATTATTTTTTTAGAGACAGGGTCTTGGCCATGTGCAGTGGCTCACACCTGTAATCCCAGCACTTTGGGAGGCCAAGGTGGGCGTGTTGTGGAAATTCAACCTGAGAAGAATAAAGAGACCAAGAGACACAAGGGAATCCCTTTACTGGAGCTCCGGCTGATGGCGGCCTCACTGCCCATAATGGCTGCCAGCCCTGAACAAAGAGAACGCATTGCCTTTGTACAATTTGAGGCGGGGAAACAAGGCAGGGAACAAGTTTTGGACAAAGACAGTTAATCAAGTTTTACAGTCTTGGGCTTCTGGTTATTTGTCTATAACCTTGCAGCTGAGGTAGGAGGTGGAAAGGTTGAGGAGGACACCAGAAAAACAGGAATTGCAGATGTATATGCGGGCTGCAGACCTAAAGATATGCTCTGGTGCTCTTATCTGCATGGGGAGGGGGTTGAACTGGGTCTGCTTTGCCTCTACTTTCTCTAAACACAGGTTTTATGACTAGCCTGGAATGTGGGCTGTGAGATAAGTTTGCAGCTGCAGTTGGTTAGGCTAAGCTGGGAGGGGTTACTTATTTTTGCTTACTGTGATTTTTCCTTATGACCTAGTCCTAATGTCAACTATTATTCTAATTTTTATTTTTTTGAGACAGAGTCTCGACTTGTTGCCCAGGCTGGAGTGCAATGGCGTGATCTCTGCTCACCGCAACCTCCGCCTCCTGAGTTCAAGTGATTCTCCTGCCGTAGCCTCCCGAGTAGCTGGGATTACAGGCATGTGCCACTGTGCCTGGCTAATTTTGTATTTTTAGTAGAGATAGGGTTTCTCCATGTTGGTCAGATTGGTCTCAAACTCTCGACCTCATGTGATCCACCCACCTCAGCCTTATTCTATTTTAATTCTGTCTTTGATTTTATTTTCCTCCTAATTCTCCCCTTAAAAGCTTTCTTTGAAAGGATTTTATTACTAGAAAGCTTTTTTCTTTTCTTTCTTTCTTTTCATTTATTTATTTTTATTTTCGGCAGGTGAATTGTTACACACTCCTTAACAGATTCCGACTTCCATGGCCACTGTCCTGCTTTTTTTTTTTTTTTTTTTGAGACTTACTTTACAGTTCACATGATGCCAGGATGGAGTGGTCAGCCTGTCACTGAAGTGTTACTGTTCGTTTGCTCAAGTGCAAAACTAGCTTGCCAGTGTCCCTTCTCCTGTTGTCATCTGTTTTGGACATCCTGACGGCAGGAGTAGGCAAACTCCTTCGGCTCCGGTTGGGCTCTCTGTGGCTGTGCGTGTGTTAGGTCGCCCCCCTCTCTGGGGGGTCTTACCGTCATCGACAACCAGCCGTCCATCTGGTTACAGGGCACGCAGTATCATTGGAGGCTTTTGCTTAGTCTGGAAGACAAGACTGGAGCTGGGTTACACTTTAGCAAGCTGCTTCATTAGGTGTTGTAACCTAATGGTTATACTTCATGATTTGGCCTACAAGCTCTTTACCTGCGCATCTGTACTTCTTGTGATTCAGAAAGGGAACAAAAGTCTGGATGTGGTGGCTCATGCCTATAATCCCAGGCTGAGGCGGGCAGATCACTGGAGGTCAGGAGTTTGAGACCAGCCTGACCAACATGGTGAAACTCTGTCTCTACTGAAAAAAAATACAAAATTAGCCAGGTGTGGTGGCAACATGCCTGTAATCCCAGCCACTAGGGAGGCTGACGCAGGAGAATCACTTGAACCCGGGAGGTGGAGGTTGCAGTGAGCCCAGATCACACCATTGCCCTCCAGCCTGGGCAACAAGAGCCAGACTCTGTCTCAAAAAACAAACAAAAAAGGGAACAGAAGAAGGCAGAGTATGAGGAAGGAAAAGACATTTAGGTGAGTCCTACATTGGTACTATACTCATCTGTCTCTTCACCATGTGGGTTCTCTTCCTCTGAGGACAAAGGCTGATACTTAGTTAAAGCCATCATTTGGTGGTAGTGTGCCTAGCCACTGCTGCCTCTATGGTTGATCGTATACGTCTAAATAAAAGAGGTAAGAGGCAAGGGAGTATTAGGCATCCGTCTAATATGAGAATTACGCTCCCTATAAGAGTTCTGAAGCTACCAAAACACGAAAACAGTCCACTGAAAAGAATCTGGAGACCACCTTTTCCAAGTCTGGACCAGGACATGGGCCAGTTTCTGCATTCTGGCAGTGATTTCCATTACTACTTGTTCATTGTCATCAATTTCTTTTTTTTTTTTTTTTGAGACAGAGGAGTCTCGCTCTGTCACCCAGGCTGGAGTGCAATCGTGCGATCTTGGCTCACTGCAACCTCAGCCTTCTGGGTTCCAGTGATTCTCCCTGCCTCAGCCTCCCGAGTAGCTGGGATTTCAGGTGCCTGCCACCGTGCCCAGCTAATTTTGTATTGTTAGTAGAGATGGAGTTTCCCCATGTTAGCCAGGCTGGTCTTGAACTCCTGACCTCAGGTGATCTGCCTGCCTCAGCCTCCCAAAGTGCTGGGATTACAGGCGTGAGACACCACACTCAGCCCATTGTCATCAATTTCTAAACAACAATTGGTTAGGTTAAATTTTCCACAAACCCCTCCTTCTGAGGCCAGGAGATAGTCTAGTGCTACGCTATTCCGGTATATTGCATTTCTCATCTGTGTGGCTTGTACGGCTAGCAAGTCTAAAGCTGTGGATGTTTCATTGGTTATAATTTCCAGGACTGCCTGTAACCTAATGATGTGGTTTATCATATAGATGGGAGTGTGATATCCCCACATCCCATCTTGCACCCAAGTAGCTGGACCATAATAATTCTTTCTGGGGGCCAGGCTGTCTTTCCAGTCTCTTATTTGTACCTCTTCCCTCCCCTCCCCTCTCCTCCCCTCCCCTCCCCTTCAGTTCCCTCCCCTCTCCTTCTCTTTCTTTCAATGGAGTTTTGCCTCTGTTGCCCAGGCTGGAGTGCAATGGCACAATCTCAGCTCACTGCAACCTCCACCTCTGGGGTTCAAGCGATTCTCTTGCCTCAGCCTCCCAAGTAGCTGGGATTACAGGCATGTGCCACCATGCCCTGCTAATTTTGTATTTTCAGTAGAGACGAGGTTTCTCGATGTTGGTCAGGCTGATCTTGAACTCCCATCCTCAGGTGATCCACCCGCATCAGCCTCCCAAAGTGCTGGGATTACAGGTGTGAGCCCCCGCACCTGGCCTGTACATCTTTAAGTTCACCGCTTACTTGTTTCTATCTTTGGATTCATCATAAATGGGGTATCCTAAAACTTTTAGGGAGAGCAAGAAAAATGATGGCTTAATAATTCCCAGCACACAAGTCCCTGTCCATTTTTCTGGCAGCTACCAATAAGCCCATTGGCCACATATCCAATAAAGGCCTGTGAGCGCCTGCCAAGCATTTGGTGCCTCTAGTTGATACCAGGAGTGGTTTAAGGAAGAAAATCTAGAAAATGGGTTGAATCGAGGTGGTTTGGAACTGCTCTTACCTAATTTGTTTTGTCTCTGCATAGGGTCTTTTCTGTAGTTTCCTTGTAATACTTCTGTCCTAGACATGCTAGTTCACCTACTGGGTTGGTGTAGGCAGCTCCCCAACAGGCAATACAGTACCTTCCTATGATGGAAGCCTTTAGGAGCCAGGTACTGGAGCTGGTAGATGAAAGCTCTGGAGAGTTTGAGGCAAGAAGGGTTAAAGTGTGATTATCTTGGGGTAGCAATTCCTTCGCCTCCCAGGCCCATTGGTCCGTCATGTTAGTTCCTTCACATACGTAACATAACTCCCACATTTCCTGCTATATTTTCAGCTAACTGAGCAAACAGACTTTTTTCTTTTTTTTTTTTTGAGACA